CGACGGAAAGTATTGACCTGAAGTTTAGCAATTTGCTTAATACTATAATTTATATATTGTTTATCTACTGAAATTCAGATTACAAATGACATAAAGTACTATCAAATGAAATATAATCATGACATGACTGATTGTATGTAAAGGAATTTGTATTTATCAATATATTTCGGTAATGAAAATCAAATAAATATTATTTAACGTTCTTAGTAACATAAAATGAATTCGAATTGAAAGTTAAACTACATATATACACATTTTGTTGGAATCTAAATAGTTATCTAATCACGAGTATTTTTCTATTAGTACTCAGACAAACAAGTGAAAGATTAATCGTAACATGAAGATATACAAAAGAAAATATTATGTGGATTTTGTTGCTACTTTAGCTAGAAGTAGAATAAAAATTAAAAAAAAAGATAATAAAAAAATTAATTGGACTTCCTTATAAATTCATCTATGGGTACAGTAGAATTTTTTTCCCCTCGAACAAAATAAAATTTAATAACATTTTATATTTATAAGTAATTCATATGATAAATTAAAAGACAATCTGTTCTGCAATGGAGTAAATTCGAGCGCTTTTCTAAAACATTCTCTTAATTTTATCTATTAAATTCGAGCGCTCTTTACTTCCTTAGATTTCAAGTTCCTTAAATTCTCTAAAAAAACAAGTAATTAGAAAATGATGATACATATACAATATTATCTTGTCAAATTGATATTTGCTATTATGATATTTGTCTGTGCAATTCATGGAATGACTGATGCTCGACGTTATCATCCAAAATCAGGCAAATTACATTCCAAATATCAAAATCATCATTACTCAGATAGTCATAATCATGAAGAACGTTTCGGATAGACTTTTAAAAATATAAAACTAACTTCAAATCTTAGGAGCATTGTGCGTTCTTTTTTTTTTATTTTTATTTTTCATGTAAATTCTAATTACTTTTGTTCTCAATAAATTTAAATATAAATCAAATTAATTGAATAGAATAA